TTCTTTCTTTCTTTCTTTCTTTCTTTCTTCTTTCTTTCTTTCTTTCTTTTTTTATATTTTAGGACAGGGTCTGCAGGGTCTCACTACATAGATTGGACTTGTACTGATCTGCCTGTGTTCAGCCTCCCAAGAGCTGAGATTACAGGTGCATGCCACCATGCCCAGTTTCAGTCGCTATCTCAGTGTGCCGTGGGGGCGGGGCCAGCATGGCACACCAGGGATCAAACCCCTGCCTCTACATCTGCCTAAGCAGGCGCTTTAATCCGCTGAGCTATTTGGCTGGCCCTTTTATGTGTTTTCATCTGCACATCCTTAAAAACTGGAATCTCCTTTGTGTCAGGCCATCTGCCAGGCAGACTCCAGACTCTTCCCTGAGGCCTGGCAAGCTGGTGGCCCACCGTGCACAGTCTTACCTCCAGACCTCCATCTACCCATCTACCTCTCCATCTATCCCCAGTTCTTTTGGCTTTATAATTTCAGGGTTCTTTTCCTGAATTTCTACACTGTACATGTCATCTGGCATTTAAGAGTGTGTATGAGGAAGACTGTTGGTTGTCCTCAGACATCCTTCTGTGTCCCTTGTGCCTTGAAGATAGCTTCTAGGACCAGCCAGATAGCTCAGTGGATTAAAGCACCTGCTTAGGAAGATGCAGGGACCTGGGATCAGTTCCTTGCATGCTGTGCCAGCCCTGCCCCGGGGCGCACTGAGACAGCAATTGAGATTGGCTGGTGTGCGCCTGCAATCCCAGTGCTTGGGAAGCTGAAAACAGGAGGATCACTATGAATTCAATCTGCATAGCGAGACCCTGTAGACCCTGTACTAAATTAAAAAAAAAAAAAAAAGACTCAGCCTCTAGTTCTTCATTGGGTACAATGCCCTGTGGACTGAAGACCGCTTTTTTCAGTTTCTCTTGCAGCTGAGTATAATCATGTGACTCACTCAGCTCTGACCAATGAGATATAAGTGAAAGTGTTATGTAAATTTTTAGAAGAAAAAAAATTTTTGGAGACATGTTCTCACTATGTAGTGCAGGCTGGCCTTGAACACACTATGTAGCCCAGGTTGGCTTCAACTTGTGGTGATCCTCCTGCTTCAGCCTCCTGAGTGCTGGGATTACTGGCGGGAGCCACTATGGCCTGCTAGAAATACTCTTTTTTTTGGTACCAGGGATTGAACTCAGAACCTTGCCCTTGCCGGGCAGGAGCGTAAACCACTGAGCTATCACCCTGGCCTAGAAATAAATACTCTTAAAGGGGAGATGGATGTGCTTCTTCCACCCCCACTCTGCAAAGTGGGGGCCTGGTGGTAGGAGCCAGAACATCACCCCAAAGCACCACCAGATGGGATGCAGAGGAAGGAGGGGAAGCCGTATCAAAGGGAGCCGCAGCAGCTTTAGAGCCGGGTTGGAGCAGGTGGGTGAGCACAGGAGGGCCAGATGGGACTCCAACGCTTCTTCAGCCAGGACCCTGGGCACCTGCTCTTCATGGCGGCTTTGATGCTCTGAAGGGCGGAGCCGAGTTATAGCAGCCACACAGCTGGCTAGCCCAAGGACGTTTACTCTGCTCTCCGGGTGAAGGCTGCAACCCCCCACTGAGAAGCCAAACACCTCGGGCTTCCAGTGCCTTTCCCAGGAGAAAGAGCTTGCCAAGGGCCGGCCAAATAGCTCAGAGGATTAAAGCACCTGCAAGCAGGCACAGGGGCCAGGGGTTCGATCCCTGGGGCATGCTGAGCTGATTGTGACTGGGCGTAGTGGCACACACCTGTAATCCCAGCTCTTGGGAGGCTTTAAACAGGCAGATCACTATGAGTCTGATCTAGTAGTAAGACCCTGAACACCCTGTAGACCCTTCCCTAAAATACAGGAACCAAAAAAACATCTTTCCAAGTATGAACCTCTGCTGCTTACAGCTGAGTTAAAGTAACCACTACTCTGCCCTGGCTGGGAGTGGACGCGGCTGACTCCCAAATGCAGCCGAGTCCAAAGTTGAGCTCCCTGGTTCCCTTGTCCATAAAGCTGGGTCCCACTCGCACTCGCTGTCACAGGGAGACTCTGATACCCAGATACCAGTCACAAAGGGTGACCATCTTCGGTAAAGCTTTCCTTTGTTCACCACCCCTGCCATCTGCAGAAGCAGCGGGCCTGACCACTCCAGCAGTCCTGGGCCCAGCCCACATCCGGTACAACCTCCGTTCATGGCGATGCGTCAGCTGCCTAAATGTCCCCTCCTCTTTCTCCTCTTCTGCGTTCAGGGTCCACCCAAGGCCTTAACTGTCCCCTATATCTGTACATGGAGTGAACATCTGACCCAGGCCTGGGCCCAAGGATTGGTTTAGGGGTGAATAGTTCCACCTCATGACACCAGAGTCTCTTTATCCCACCAGAGTCTCCAGGTAATGAAGAGGGCGTCTGACAACGATAGCGACCCAGGGATCAGGAGCTGACGCCATGCTTAGATACTCGGGTGCAGATGCCCGTGAGGCCAGGGCCCTCCCTCCATCTCTGACTCAATCCACTTCCACTCCCTGACACTTCAACCAAAACAGCCCATGCATAGTATTTCTTTTTTCCACAATTTTTTTTTTTTTTTCAGTCCTAGAGATTGGCCTTTGCTCTGGGTTACAAACCCAGCTCTCTAAAAAAACTATGTTTTAAATTTGGAGATGGGGTTTCATCAAGTTGCTAGGTGGACTAGGCTGGGCTTGAAGCTGTGATCCTCTGGCTGGAGCATCCCAGAGACTCCCCCACGCCCGGCTACCGGCCATCCCTGTCCCTGTCCCCTGACACATCTTATGCCCTCTTTCTGAGCCACCTCCCTCCTCTACCTGGGCCTTCAGGGTCACCTCGTCCCCTCACACTTCTGCTACAGATTGCATCTAACCAAGCAAAGCATCACAGCCATGCACCACACTGCCGACTCTTCCGGCTTCTCCCACAGGAGACTGTGAGCTCTGGAAGGGCAGGGCCCGTGCGGGGTGGCCTTGGCCGGGCAGGGACTCATCACATTGCTGAGCGCCTGGTGGGAGGAGCTTTATTTCTCATAAGCCCATGACCATGAGGCCCCAGGAGAACATGCCCAGGGGCCTGGGTCTACCCACTGCACGCTGCTTAGAGCCACAGAGGGCATGTAGCAGCTGCCGCCAGAGGCTGTGGCTTTGGAAGGCGCCTCACAGCATGGGGGCTCATTCTGTGGGTGGAAACTAATCGCTGGACAAGAAGAGCCTGCTCACAGGCCATCTGGGGAAAAGATCTACGTGTGCAGGCTTGCAGGACCAGGTTCTTCCAGCCAGATGATCACCTCTGACCTGCCTAACTACCAGCTGAGCGTCACAGCTTTCAGAAAAGGATGTCAGGTTTCTAGTGTGGGGTGAGAGTTACTTGGGAAGCCAGAGTAGACATTGTTTTTGCCCTTTTACGGCTCCTGAATTTGGTTTTGAGGGAACTACCTGCAGCAGGGTGCAGTCAGACATGCAGGTGAGGGGGCAAATCCAGCTGCTCTGTCCTTCTAGCAATAGGGAACAAAACTAGGCCCAGGACCAGGCCCTCCGAAGCTCTCTCCCTGGAGTGTGCTGAGCAGTGTAGGACCTGGGGTGGTGCAGAGCTGACGCCCGCAGGGGCCTGGCACGAGTCCCCTGAGAACCCTGAGCCATCCATCTCTCCTTACCATGTCTCTGTGCCCCGAGCGTCCTTCTTCCTCCCAAAGAGAGAAGTTCAGGGAAACGTTGATGGGGGAGATGAGGTCCTGAATGCAGACCTGGGGGTGAGAGGAGCACAGTGCAGGCCGTGAGTCGGATCTGCACCACGTTCCCCCAGGGGCCCGCCTTGCCTGCATTGCCCCAGCCGTGAAATGCTGGCAACTAGTTGTTTAAAACCTTTCCAATTGTGAACAGTGTTTCACCACTTATCAGTAACGAAAAGTCATTTATCACATGTCAGGTGCTGATAACATGCTGCGGGTGTTTCTTGGCAGAAATGTCTACTCGTTAGTGTCAATTGCATGGCAAATACCATTAATCAATCACAACACTGTTTGTCACTGAGTCCTAATGGGAGAGAATGAATCTTTGTCAAATGGCTCTGGGCTGCCATGATCAAAGTCTACATGAGAATATTCTAGAATACCTATTTTATTTCTAGACGTGAGACAGAACAGGGAAAGTAGCTGGTATGTCTCAATCATCGCCCTAACAAAAATCCCTCTGTGCACATAATCAGGACTGGAAGAAGATGCCCTGCGGATACTCTCCCAAGTGCTGTACAGCAGAGGAGACCGCGGTCCAGAGAGCTCGACACGACGGTCACCCAGCCGACAGTGCCGTGCTGGCATCCAGCTTTCGACTCTTTTCCAGAACATCGGCACTGGCTTCCTTACCGGGAAGTGAAACCAGAATTCCTCACAGGATTCATCTTGTGAGACCAGTGTGGTGTCAGTGAGTTCGGATCTCCGTCCTGGGAATAAACCCCGGCTCCTGCTTCGATGGCCATCCAGCTGCAGAGTGTAGGTGAGGTTGGTAACCAGGCGACCTGGGGGCGGGGAGGCAGGATTTGAATGGTGCCAGGGGGTGTGGGCCAGTACCGGGGGGGCAGAGGGTGGCACTGACCTTGGAACTGGCGAATGAGACTCTTGAGCTGGAAGCAGACTGTGACGTTCACGCCCTCCCTCCTCCGGGGGCTGGCGGAGTAGGAGCACTCCACCTCATGCACCGGAATCTCCCGGGGGAAGAAGGACATCCGAGTGACAACATCCACCACGGGCCGGGACCTGAGCCAGAAAGCCACCACATCTCTCCTTGGCCTCAAGGAGCACTCCTCAGCTTGGGCTCTGTCCCTCCAACCCCAGAAGGCTTTCCCTCCCCGGTGGTGATGCCCTTGTCTCCTCTCAGCAGTAACTGCCATGGTGCCACCGACGCAGGCTGGCAGCCTGTGACTGCTGTCTGTAGAGTGGTGTGAGCTTTCACATGGAGAAACCAGGGCTAGAAATGTAGCTCAGGACAGAGCATTGCCTGGCCTGTGTGAGGACCTGTGTGCCGCCCCAGGACACACACACACACACACACACACACACACACACACACACACTCTAAGACCCTGCCTTACCCCATCCCAAATACAGTTTGTAATTACCTATTTACTTGTTGAACTTAAAAAAAAAAAAAAAAAAAAAAACAAAAAAACTTCCTTAATTTTTCTTTTTCTTTTCTTTTTTTTAAACAAGGTCTTTCTATGTAGCCCAGACTGGCCTTGAAATTACACTGATCCTCTTGCGCCAGCCTTCCAGTGCTGGGATTACAGGCGTGCACCACCACACCCGGCTACTCCTTTGGCTGTGGATCGCAGCTATCACTGTGCATGTACTCTGGACCAAATGCCTGATTCTGCATTCCAGACCCAACAGGTAATTAGGAGCTGGGGTGCAGCTCAGTGGTAGAGCAGTTCTCTACCATGTTCCAGTCCCTCAGTTGGGCTGGGGAGATAGCTCAGTGGCACAGCGCCTGCCTGGCAAGTTCGAGGTTGTGAGTTCAATTCCTAGTACCAAAAGAACAAAAAACACAATGAAGTCTGTTGGTTCCACCCTCAGCAAGAAAAGATAGTATAAGAGAAGGAAAAGGAATAATTTTTTGGGTGTGTATGTGGCACTAGGGATTGAACCAGGGCCATTGCCCTGAGCTATATCCCCAGCCTTTTTTCTTCTTGTTTTTTTTTTTTTTTTTTTTTTTCTTTTTATGGAACCGGGGATTGAACTCAGGCCCTTGCACTTGCCAGGCAAGCACTTATTCTACTGAGCTATCTCCCTGGCCCTTTTTCTTCTTTTTGTTGTTTGGGACAGGTTCTTGCTGTACAGTTCAGGCCAACTTTGAACTCACTATGTGGCTCAGACTGGCCTCAAACTTCTGGTGATCCTCCTGCCTCAGCCTCCCAAGTCAATCCTTTTATTTTATTTTTTTGGCGGAACCTGGGATTGAACTCAGGCCCTTGCACTTGCCAGGCAAGCGCTTATTCTACTGAGCCATCTCCCCAGGCTCTCTAATAGTCCTTTTATTTTGTTTTAAAACAGGGTCTCACTAAGTTGCCAAGTTGCACAGGCTAATCTCACTACTCTTCCTCTGTCAGCCTCCTGGAATGCTAAGATTGCAGGTGTGTACCCCACATTCAGCCCTTCCCTGACTTCTCTTAATTCTTCTCTGAGGGGCTGGGATGTTGCTTAATGGTATGGCACCTTCTCAGCATTCGTGAGGCTCTGGGTTTGACCCTCAGCATCAGGAAGTTGATTGATAAATATCTATTCTCTGTTCAACATTACAGATGAGGGTTTCAACAACTCCAAGAAATGGACAGGGAGGAAACCTCACCACTACTTTAAACACGACAAAACTCAGGTCCAGAGAACCCAAGCCACCATGCTCTATAGCCAAGCCTTTGTTCATCATATGATGCTGCTTCTGTAGATTTCAGTGTCAAAGAGGCCTGGCTTCAAATCCTAGTTCTGTCACCAAAGAGCACCTGTCAACTCCCAAAAAAGACATGAGACCTCTGAAGGAGAACCCACCTCCCCAGCTTGGGGTGACAACCACATGAACGAGTGAGCACTCTCAGACAGGAGCGGAAGCTTCCACGGGCCCCAGGACCCTGTCTCACCTCAGCACAATGATCTGGCCCTCAGCCCCCACAGTGACATCTGTCAGGCTGTCCCCGTCAAGGTCCTTCACCCCATGGATGGAGCGCCCAAACCACCGAATTCCTGGCAACACCTGGGTTCCTTCTATCCTCTGAGAGGAAAATTCAGGGAAAGAACAGGAAGGACCGGAAGTCAGGCCAGGCCTGGGGCCTGGGTTGGAGACATGGGGGACCAGGCCTGGGAGCAGGCTGTGAGGGGCAGGGAGGGTGCCTCACCTGACTCAGCTGGGGTTGCAGCCCCCCACGCTGCCCATTGAAGATGTACACGGCCCCTTGCTCCTCTAGAGGGGCTCCCACTGCTACATCCGTCAGTCCATCCCCATTGATGTCTGTCAGAGCGGAGATGGCGGCTCCAAAGCGCCCCAAGGGGTAGCCAGGAAGCCCGTGTAGTTCTGAGACGGCTTCGAACCCCAGCTGGAAAGGAGCAAGGCCACACACCTTGACCATCCAGGAAGCTTCCACGGAGTGTGAAAAGAACAATGTGGTAAAGAGCATTGAGGAATGTGGTGTGGGCCTTTATAGGATTGGAATACACTGTCAGGCTAACCTGAGCTTTAGGCCTTGGGTGACCTTGTGGCTCTGGAAAGGTACCTTGCTCCACTGAGCCCTCGTGCTCCCATTTGTAAAATGACACTTCCAGAATCCCAGGAGGTTCCCAGAAGGGTGAAGTGAGACCATGGATACAAAGTGTTCGGCACTGGGCCCTGTTAGCTGTTGCTTGTTGGCTATCTTAAAGTTCTTTTGCTTTTTTTTTTTTTAGACAGGATTTCACTATGTAGTTCAAGCTGGCCCTAAACCCACTATGTAATCCAGGCTGGCCTTCAGCTCACAGAGATCCTCCTGCCTCAGCCTCCCTAGTTCCAGGATTACAATTGTGCCCCGCCATGTCTGGTTATTCTAAAGATCTGATTAACGTGTGATCCGATAGGAGAAAGCTTTCAGTGTAACTGGGGCCTTGAGTGGGCCTGTGAATCACTGCTTTTCCCTTTCCTCTGGTGCCTACCTGTTTTCTCCGGTAGATAAACACTCGGCCTCCTCTTTGCTCCCCATAGAATAGGGGGGCTCCAATCAGCAGCAGCTCTGTCTCCCCGTCTTGATCCATGTCAATGCCACACAGCTCCCCACCAAAATAAGAGCCAATCTGGAGTGAGAGGAATATGTCTGAGGGACTTCAGGTGTACCTCTCAGCTGCACCATACCGCCTTCTTTCTGTCTTAGGTCCAAGGCCCTCAGCCTACACTCAGCCTACAGCTCAGAGTCCCACTCGGCCTGGGCTCTGAGTGTGGTGTCTCAGAGTAGAAAGTGGCCGTGGCGAGGCTCCTCTCAGGGAGCTTTTGAACAACTTATGTGACAGAACCTGCCATGCAGGGGAGGCACAGGGACCAGCACTCAGCCCACACCGGCCCCTGTCCTGAAATGCCCCTCGGGACTCACTCACCTGCGTCCCTTCTATTTTCTGGATCTGTGTCCAGTTTCCTGTATCCCTCAGTTCTTGGAACAGCAGCACCTGGCCCACATGCTGGTATCGGGGAGCTCCAGCTGCCACCAGGGCCGTGCGCCCCTGGGAAGGCAGCCAGGTCACCGCGTAACCTGAGGAGCAGAAGGGTGAGAAGCCCAGAGTTAACAATGCCAAGGATGCAGGAGGGAGGCCACGCGCAGGGCCCTGGTGCAACTGAGGAAGCCCTGCCCCCGAGGAAGGCAGCCCCGTGCTCCACGCAGTGCGAGCCCCGCCACCACGGCCCTGGCCGAACTTCTCTAGTAGAAGCAGCTGCGAGGGGCTGGAGAGATGGCTCAGTGGTCTAAAGCACCTACTTAGAACAAGCTTAGCAAAGCACAGGGCCCGCGGTTCAATCCCCCAGC